AACTTGTGCTGGTTTATACTCTTGAAAGTATGGATTCGGTACCAGAATATCATTTTGTCTGAAGACTTGAGTTTCATGTGTTATCTTGCGTTGGCTTTCAGTAAAAAAAGTGAGGATTAACGACCCAATAAGATAAAAACTGCGGAGCCGTTTCAAGTCAGCACGTTTAACCTTCGTCATGCCTGAGTATCTATTGATGTATTCTATGCCCGGCTTAATCTACACGGTAAAATGAAGAGCTGTGAAGCTTTCTCGAATTATTATCTACTTCTAAACAAAGTTATGATAGTCGAAAATAATATCGAAATACTTGAATGTCCGTACGAATAGACAACTATCGCGCCTCTTCATACGTCTCTTTTAATCTACTAAAAAATGAGTAAATAAAAAGTTAATTTCAACTGAAGTATTGAATATTTCCTGAAGTTCAAAGAAAATTATTTTCTATTTTTATACCTGGGTAGCCGTTTTCATCTAAATCAAGACGTCCAGCTATAGAATATCCAAAGGTTTTGGGCTTCTGAGGCAGCTCTGAAGACTTTATAATCTAAATCACAAATTTAACACAATACTATTAAAACTAACAGCAGTTTATCAGTCTCTTTTTTCCTTCCTCTGCACAGAGATATGGGGAATCTTTTTTAACGTAACAAATACCATATTGAAGATGTGAATTTCATCAAGCAAATTTTTCCTGAAAAAAAGGTTTTGAGCTCCATACTGAGTGTGCGTAGGACTTGTGACTTTTACTTTGAAAACATCAAGCCAAGATTCAAACCTGTAACCTTCTGTTTGTTATTCAGATGCTCTAACCAGTGTTGAGTTTCAGAAACTCAATTCACATCTTTAATATCTTTCCAAGCACCTACAAAAAACCCTGAATGCGATTTTCTTTCTATTCCGCCCTAGGTAACATTTTAAGTGAGTTTTATGGGCTTTTGGTTCTCATAAGTGTACATATGAACCAYAGAATGTGTCACATTACATTGACTCTATTGTTTCAGTCAATAGATAAGAAGGTTGGCAAGCGAAAAAGGCCCAAAATTAAATTATACCTGTGCAGGCTTCTTGGAGAGCCCATCAGCAGAGCCATTAAATATGTAAACTACGCCATTCATATCTTCATATGGAGCTCCTACTGCAATATCTATGAAAATAGAAATTCTTCTCAGAAAAACTGAGCTGGAAAATAGATTTGCAGCCATGGGTACTACATGCTAAAGTCATTGATAAATAAATAAATAATCTTTATTTTAAGTGTGTGTCAAATACAGCATTTTAAAAGGGCCTGTTTCCAATTTGGCACACATTCACTCACCCTCAATACTACTACATTCAATATGCACACAACACTTGACTCACATGTTGATTTTTATGGAGGGAGGAAACTGGAGAACCCGGAGAAAGCTCTTGTAGCATAGGAGAGAACAACACATCAAACAAACTCAATTCACATATAAAAATGGTGTCTACAGGGCTCGAACCAGTGACCCGAACCTTTAGCAGTGTATGCCACCCATGCTACCATAATGTACCTTCATAGCCATCCTGATCTAAGTCACCCACTCTTGCTACAACATGTCCAAACTGAGCCATTCTCCTCTTGACACTTGGTGCTAGCTCCATCTCCTTCTTGAACACTCCATTTCCCTTGTTGATATAAACAAACACTCTTCCTTCGTTTGGTGAATCCTTGACAGAATAATAAGGTGCTCCTACTAGGACATCTGTCAGGCTAGTATTACAAACAAGATATTGCAATCAGTTATTGAAGCCATCTCGGTGACATATTACATAAATTTCAAATTTGTCATTTTATTCTCTTCTATACCATATATCTCATTTCTAGTAGCAACAAAGAAATAACACTCAACTGATAAAAAATGAGAACTGATTCCAATAGGCCACTTGCATTATAGTGTCATTAATTAATCAGAGGATATTCTCACGAGGATTTATACAAATTTGAATACAAAAGAAATTTTACCAAGGATTTTGGTAGAGGTAGTCAAATGGCCTATTGCAAAATGAATAATGGGTCTATACTTTGAGGCTTTAGTGGGATAATATAGGTATAATTTACTGGCCAGGAGATCCAGATCCGAGGCCATTAAGCTTAAGCTGAGGCCAATTTCCAAGGCAGAGAGCACAATTTTCCCAATCAGGATCGACTTTAGGATGGCAAAAAAATTAGTCATTTTTCCCATTTATCTTTTCACTTCTTTTGACATCTAACAATATTGCAATCCATCATTGTCACATGTGTGCACAAATACCGGACTGTGGGCTGAGATAGTAAATGACAAGACTCAGGCAGCCAATCAGAATGCAAATTCTTAGGATACCAGACCAGATTTATCATTTTCAGCATAATTTTCAAATTTTTTTTTTTTGGCATATCCACTCCTTCCTCCCAAATGACAAACAATGTTGCCATTCATGTTCTCATTACAGTTTTTTTAGGCTACTGTATGTGACTAAAATAAATATGGCAATATTTTCCTGAGTGATTTTCTGAAGCATCATGCAATAACTATACCTGTCATTGTTAACATCTACTCCAGCAACGGAGTAACCAAATCCTGAGCCAGGTTGTGGGTTTCCCTCTTCTTCAGTTGGAAGAATAACCCTACGGGGGTGATAGTCTGGATAGATACCACTACCTCTCTCAAACACTACAGCCTGGTAGGAAAATGGAAAGCAATGTTGAACTATGAATTACAAAGATATTAACATTATAGTAAAATGAGTGCGAACCTTTTCTTGTAACTTGGAGGCAATACAGCATCCAACAAGTCTAGAAGTGTAGTATGTAGGAAGGGGAAAGAAGTCAGGAATGAATGTGATATAACAAGGAAGCTAGACTGATTATGTTTGTTGGCTAAAAATAAAATTGAACATAAATGGTGGTTTTGTTTGAAATTGAAAAATGTTAACTTTTTAGATGACAAATGTACAAGTTTCAGGAGCCAGTTACAGCTTGTTTTGATGTCTGCGTAGTGTTCACATCGAGATTCTAATGATGGTATGTTTGTCATTAAACTAGCAAGGAAACATCAAAAATAATGACTTACCATTCCACAGTGATTAAAACGTGGTGCTCCAGTCACAATATCTGAACAACAATTAAATGATTGAAAACAGTAAATAAAAAATAATTTTGCAAAAAAGAATAATCAAATGGATAAGTGAAAATAAACCATTGTTCAAAGAAATATAGATCTTATTAGACATTTTAGGGCATAGAATATTGGTGGATATTTCTTCAAGTCTGCAGTATTTTGTTGAACATGTTAGGATATTTGCATCTGCTCAAGGATTTCTCCTGCATTATTTCTACTCTAATTTGAATAGTTGGATAATAGGTACACTAACTTATAATACACAAAATTACTTGATTCTGATTGGACAAGAGGAGTACAATTATATCCCATATTGTACTCTGTAGAGTCCCAATTAAGTTGCTCAATTTTGTTGAGTGTATTATAAACACAAAATCCCCAAATCTTCTCATACAATTTGGAATTGATAGATACTTGCAATGTTTTGGGAGTTCTCATTTGGAAGTTCTTATTTTTTCAAACTTATGACCTATCTAACTTGACATAGAAATTTTAGACCTAAGTGTAATCATCTTAGTTTATTACACTGAAGAAATAATTTAGTAAATTTGAGTCGAAGAAAAGAGTACAGTAAAAATGAAGCCAAGTTTTTCAGCATAACTTTCTTACCAACTTGTTTTGGTTTGAAGAAAGAACCATATGAAGTTGAAAAACCTATAATAAAAATATTAACCCGTTAGGAATAAGAATTGTTTTTCCCTGACAACTGTGAAGAAGACCTACAACTAGCTACTTATACAAGCTTGTATTTGTTGACAAGGTTAAAATAAACACATTGTAGACAGACCTTGATAGCCCAATGCAGATGAGGTGTTCTGCATCTCTTTGGCTTTCGTCTGGCCTCTCTGCTTGTAAAATATGACACCTGGAGGGGAAAAAAGAGTCTACATAAACGCCAAGAGAAGAGGTGTACTCCAATGTAAAACATTCTAGGTTTCCTCTCTTTCAGGGTACAGTACCTTACCACTAAGCACCATTTAGGGGTGAAAACTGTTGTAAGATGTCAACTAAGTGACTTCTGTGGTCATCCTCAACATTTCAAATACACAAGTTTCTCTACCTTTGTGTGTATAGGAGGGGTTTCTGGTGGGATTTTGTGAATTATAAAAAATGTATGACCCCTTACCAATTTTTTTATGTGGCCCCCTATCAAAACAAGATAAATTATTTTAATAATAAATTTTCTATTTAGCTAATTATTTTTGGGATGGCCCACTGAAATGCCATACTTTTTTATGTGCCCCCCTAAATCCCACCAGCTTTCACCAAGCCCATAGAAATGAAGGATCTCTAAGGTATGATTGTACCTTGATAATTCTTAGACCCAGGTGCACCCCCTGCCCCTCCCGAATCCCACCAGCCTTCACCATACCCATAGAAATGAAGGGTCCCTAAGGTATGATTGTACCTTGATAATTCATAGACCCAGGTGCACCCCCACCCCTCCTGAATCCCACCAGCCTTCACCATGCCCTTAGAAATGAAGGGTCCCTAAGATATGACTGTACCTTGATAATTCTTAGACCCAGGTGCACCCCCACCCCTCCTGAATCCCACCAGCCTTCACCATGCCCTTAG